TGCCCCAGGCCCGGGAGGCTCGGCGGGGCGCTGCGTTAGAGCCCTTAGATCCTGCCCGCGGAGCATCACTTCTTGGGGAGGGAAGAGGAGGGCTGGAGGGGAGGGGGCGGGAATCCCCCTGCATAAGGCCCTGGAAATGAAGCACGAGGCATTTCCTGGAGGTCGTGGGTGAGTCGGGCTCGTTTCAGCAGAGGGAGCGCCAGCTCTGGAGCTGCCACCGTCTCTGCTCAAGGAGGACACCAGAGATGCTGGTCTGGCAGGGCCTGATCCAGAGAATGGGGACTCCAGCACCGTCTTCTTAGCCTCCTTCGTCCTCCCTCCCCGAAGGATCGTTCTCCTTCAGAGAGAAATAACCCGTCACTACAGCTCCTCGCCCGCACGTAGCGACCACGGCGGGGTTTTTTACCTGGAAGGGAAGAAGTAAAAGCTGGGCTCGGGGATATCTCCCAGCACACCGCGGCCTTGGCGATGCCCTGCTGGGACCTCCCTGGAGGTTCCCTTTCCGCCCAGCTGCCCATCGATTTTCTTCCGCTCCTATCCCTCCGTTTTCCGAGTAATGCAGCGGGCGAGGACGTTTAACCCCTGGGGTAAAAGACAGCGTGACTGCTTTGGAGCCGCAAATGGTTTCTAACTGCTTTGAGACGCCATGCCTGTACATGAAATATAGAGGGGGTGTGTACGGAGGTCGCTTCTCCACGAGGGGCTGGGGGAATCTCTCCGCTCACTGGCTCGTCTCAGGCAGGGGGGAACAAATCCAGCCCCGTTAACACCGCCCATGCAAGTAAAGCCGCATCCACTCCCCCTCGGTGCAGACAGCCGCCGGCCGCCCGGACCCGCCGCCTCCCCCAGAACCCATCCGGCGTGCGATAAATGCAATAAAACCCCAAGTAAAACAAAGCGAGGAGGCGGAAGGAGGGCCTGGGGGCCGTCCCTCACTTCGAAGGGAGCAGGAGGGCTCAGCTCTTCCCGGCAGCCCCCCGGCAGCATCCTCACCCAGGAGGCATGAGGCAGAGCCCAGATCCGTTCACCCGGCCGACACCGAGCCGGCACCCTCAAGGCAGCCTGCGAGCGGGAGACCAGCGCCGAGGGTCACCCCCGTCCCGTACAGCCTCCTTCCCACCTCGGGTCAGTCACCTGCTCCTTGGGACACTCCAAGCACGAATTATTAAAATACTAAATACTCGCCTGTATGGCAGAAGACAAGCATACGGGCTCCCCCGCTTATTCCCCCACCCTTCTCCCCCAGTAAGATCGTCGCTTCCTCCTTTCTTCCCCTCTTCTCCCCCTCTTAGCGGTAGGAAATCCTTGGAGGCGGGGATGCGGCTTTTCTGTCTGGTCCTTCTTCCTGCTCACAGCATTGCTGAAACTCGCTGCGTTATCTGCCCAGGAGCAGCCCTCGACAGTGTCTGTAATCGGAGAGGCTCCTGTAGCCGCAGGGTGACCGGGGAAGAGAGCGGCTGAAAGCGAGTGACGCGGTTTAGAGGGATTTTGTTGTTGTTATTGTTGTTGTAGCCCTTCCCCTGAGCGGAAGAAATGCGGAGCCGGCGACGGAGGCGCTCCTGGACGTCTTTCCCCTCCTCTCCAGCTGACAGGCGCTTTTAAAGCAGGAGCGAGGAGCGCTCCCGCCCGAGGCCCCTGCTGAGTGGGGCATAAACCCGTGCTCCCTATTCCTGCCGCAGCCCTGCCCGAGCCTGGGGAGCAGGGCATAAATCTGTGCTCCCCTCTCCTGTTGCATGCCAGCCCGGACTGGGAGAGCAAGGCATAAATCTGTGCTCCCCGCTCCTGTTGCAGCCCGGCTTAGGGCCCCGCTGAGTGGGGCATAAATCTATGCTCCGCACTCCTGCCGCAGCCTGGCCCGAATATGGGGAGCGGGGCATAAATCTGTGCTCCCCACTCATGTTGCATACCAGCCCGGACCCGGAAAGCAAGGCATAAATCTGTACTTCTCACTCTTGCCTCAGCCAGGCCCAGACCTGGGGAGTGTGGCATAAATCTATGCTCCCTACTCGTGCTGCAGCCCGCCTCTCCCCACTGTAGGCCCAGGGACCGGAGGGAGCCAAGAGAGCCTGGAGCATCTGGGTTGCTCCAGTGCTTCAGGGAGCTACCTCAGAGGGGGTAAAAACCTGCAGGTTTGAACAGTGACATTCGTGTGTGGCTTCCCCCAGCCCCAGCCCCGAGTCAAAACCTGTTTCACAGTGGTGATTAGCCCTGCTCCTCAGAGATGGCGCGGTTCACCCGCTGCAGGCCAAGGCTCCCTTAGAAACTGCTGCACAGAGGGGTCCGATCAGAACTGCCAGTCCCTCACCTGGGGTGACATGCACGGCACTGTACAGCCACAAGGTCGCTCGACATTAGCACAGAGTCAGGCAGGGGGGACAAGTTTCTTCCTTTCCCGACCTCCAGTGCCTGGTATGCGCTTTTTGCAAAGCCCTCTCCTAAGTGACAGAAGAGCTAGCAGCCCTCCCCAGACAGATAGCTCCGTGCCTGTGTTGTACTTAGACCTTCCTGAAGGGAGTGTGTTTTACCCGGGTCCTACAGCAGCAGGGAAACTCGCTCGCTTGGCCAGGCCGCAGGATTGCCTGCACACAACACAGACCTTCCCGGCAGCGCAGAGAGGGGACGAGCTGGAAAACTTCCGGCCCTTCCCCTTCCAAAACCCAGAGTCGTCTGGGCTTTCAGACAGGTTTGCATATCCGCAGGTTAATGGCAATGCAGCAATAAAAACCCAACCACCATCCTCATCTGCTGCCCAGAACCACGCTGGGCCCGGGCCCGGTGTAACCGGCCATAGAGCAGCCTTCAGCTGGCCCCAGTGGGGCCAGGTTTGGCCCAAAGACCGTGCTACGTGGGGATTTATGCTGGTCTCTCAGTTGCAAGGGCCTACAGGGCCCGATCTGGCCAAGCTTGGGTGCAGACGTTGTCCTAAGCACTAGAAGGGTGGGCTGCCCCCCAACGAGGGGACAGATGGGGGAAAGGGGGAGCGTCGGGGATGAGAGAGGACATGTCGGGGCCATACTGAGGGGACGGACTGTCTATATTTCAGGGCTGTGTTACTCCGTGCTGCTTCCTGCCCCCGCCTCTGCCCTGGCCTGGTTTAAATCACCTGTCGCGAAAAACATCTCATGGCCCCGGTTAGTCACCCCTGGATCCCTCCTCCCCGGATCTGATCACGGGACTCCTGTAGGACCCCCGACGGCCACCAGGGAGGGTCCCGCCAAACGAGCCAGGGGGCCGGGAGGCTGTGAACCCCATCTTTGAGTCTTTAAATGCGGCCCCAGACAGGTCCCTCTTAGGGGACAGTGCCCAGCGCTTGGCTCTCGCCTCGCCTGCAAAAATGAGCTCTCCGAAAAGGGCTCCCCCAGGAAAGACAGGGGGTGGGGGTGGTGGGGGGAAGGGGACGGC